GTTGATGTTGGTGTCTGTCATGAAGAATGATAAATCACAGTTCTTATTTTACGTATTTTTAGGTTGAAGAATGAATTGTAAAATGTTTTACCTAAAACAAGATGGTTAAACATTTTACCGAGATTGCAAAAGAAAAAATATTGACAGGAAAAGTAAAATACGTTGATTATAGCCTTTACTTGTATCAAACGTGGTAAAACATAAAAAGTGAACTCCTGAAATTTATTTTACTATAGTCAAACAGAACCTTAGTTTAAAACATACCTACGTAGATTGTAATTTAATAGTCAATGGATTGGCAAAATGTACACTTTTCCTATCTTTTGTTTGTCATTTATGTGGGTTATAAATGAGACGAGACAGATAATGAGTTATTTGAGTTCGATTCGGTTAATATTCGAATTGAATAGATTCCAGTTGAGCTCAAACTCAAACTTGACTTGAATTCTTAACGAGTCAAAGCAAACTACTGAATATCCGACTCGAAAAGCTCATGGGTAACTCAAAAAATAATATATTAAATTTTTATTTCTTTAAATTAAATTATTAATAAATATTAACATTTTTATATATTTTTAAATACAATATAAGACTTTCATGCACATAAGGTTTTAAGTTCGAGCTCGAACCGAGCTCGAATTTGAGCTTTAATAGAGCTAAGTCTGAGAATGTTTTGAGTTCAATTATATTCAAGCTCAAGTTGAGATTCAATTTTTAATTTCAATTTCGAGTATAGCTTGACAATTTTAAGCTCATGAGCTTTTGAGTCGAGTTAAGCTTCAATTTTTTATTTCGAGTTCGAGTCGAACTGGATAAATTTAAGCTCGCGAGCTTTCAAATCTAGTCGAGCCTAGCTTTAATATTTTCAAACAAAATCAAACTCAACAATACTCAAACTCGACTCTACTCATTTACAACCTTATTCGATTGAGGATTTTCTTTTCTTCAATTTTTTTCATGACATGTTGAGCAAACACATAAATTCCTTGAAGATTTATCTCCATTTTTCTGACCTGGATATGCTTCATTAATAAAACGTGTTGAATGAAAAAATAACCCTCAATGCTAAACACTGACTTGTTAGAAGAATTGATAATCCATTAAAACAAAATTACTTCACAATAATCAAAATCACAAGTCACAGCTGACAAATAAAATGATGTACGTTAGCATGAGCCATTAATGACCTCATATCTTAACTGTTTATAGTTTTTCCAATTACATAGGCATGAGACATTAGTGACCTCATCTCCCTTCCCTAAAACGTTTATGATTTCTTGGCCCCCAAACATTAAATGCAATTTTTTTTCTTTTTTCAGTTATTTTTAGGCTTTCAAGTTTGATAGTGATGGCTGAGGAATGAACTTGGGACTTCATAATTGAGATTATTTGGGTCCGGTGGCAGAATTTAGTGATAGAATTTGGAGGACTAATTTAAAACTTTTAAAAAATTAAAGGTTTGAGCTAAATTTTTAAAATTTTTGAAGGGTTTAATTTACATTTAATCCAAAAAATTAGAGTTCAACTAAAATTTTTGAAATTTTAAGAGGCTTAATGAGAATTTTTTAAAATTATGAGAGTGAGTTTAATTAAGAAACATTAAAAATTTTGAAGTTTAATATGAATTTCTAAAAAATTTTGGGGTCAAATTAATTTTTTAAAAATTTTAAGGGTCTAAATTGTAATTTTTTAAATTTTGGGGAGGGCACGGACCCACTAGTCCTTCTTTGTCTCCCGCCACTGCTTGGGACCAAATCTTGCCCCAACCTTGAGTCTTCTTTCGGTATTAAACTTAAGAACCCATTTTTTTCTCCTGCTTGGGAATGATTTTTTTAACCTAAAATATGAATTTTCATTTCTTTTATTATAAGAACTACAGCTGAAAAAGATGTAGGAAGCTCTTTATTTAAAAGGAAACCCAGACTAAAAATAAACAACAGCCGATAATAACGAATGAATGCATCAAAAGCATACAAAATATATATAGATTTGACTCAACTTGTTAAGTTCAGAATAAGTAGTTTAACTCGCTGCAAAAGCATGCATCGCATTCTCCTTCTTCCCAAATATGATATTTCTTAAAGATGACTACGTGGATCAAATAATATAAGATGTTAAATTTACATGAGATTCCCTATAAGAAATGATTATATAAAATAATTATTTATATTCAAGTTATAATATCATGTTAAAAAAAAAACCATGATATCTAATTGTGGTGATGGAATTTGGTGATAAAGTTTGAGAGGTGGGGTCAACTTAAAACTTTAAAAATTATCATTTTTTAATTAAATTTTTTAAAAAATTTTGAACGGTTTAGTTTACATTTTTCTTAAAAAAATGGGTTATAACTAAAATATTTGAAATTTTGAGAGTCTTAATGAAATTTTTTAAAAATCATGGGAGGAGTTTAATTAAGAACATTCAACAATTGTAAAGCTTAATTTAAATTTCTAAAAAAATTGTAGTAAACAAATTAAATATTTTGAAAAATTTTAAGGTCTAATTAATAATTCTTCAAAATTTTGGGAGGCATTAGCCCCCACTAGTCTCCATTGTGTTTCGCCTCTGTCTAATTATACGAATTAAGTGATTTCAGTTATTAATAGATTTATTGTTATTTATTGAGATCACATACTGAACATAAACTTAATTAAATGTCATGATTCAAATAGAAATAAATATGTTGCATATTTTATACAAGTTTTTTTTTATCTCTTTGAGGTATAACTTGGATTATACCAATAAATATGGATGATTTTAGAGTAAACATAGTACATCAAAATATATCACCAATATACTAATTTAAATATATTATTATATAAATTATATTTATTAAGAAAATATAAAAAATTTAAAGATCTTTCTATGATTAATCTCTTATAAAAAATTAGTCTTAATTCTAATATAATTATACTTGGATCACTATTTTTTATTAAAAATTACTATTAATATAAGACTTCAATTTTACTTTAAAACTAAACAAAAAAACCTCTATGTAATTATTAATCTCTTATAAAAATTTAGTTTTAAAAACTTTAATACAATTATACTTAAATCATTTTTATTAAAAATCATGATTAATATATAACCTTAATTTTTTTTAAATAAACTAAAAATTACTAAAATTTAAAATTTCTCCCATCGTCAAATTGAACTTTTATTACTGCCCAGTGTAGAGCTGGCAATCAGATCGTTTAGATCGGATCATTTCGGATTGAGTCATTTCGAGTCTATATTATTTTGGTTTAGATTGTGTTCGGGTCGAATCGAATCTAGTTCAGATTTAGTTCAAGTATACGAAACTTTAGTTCGGGTCGGGTCAAAATCAGATCGGTTGAATTTCAAGTCGGTTAATTTCATATCGGTTGGCTTCGGGTCAGTGTAATCTCATATCGGTTGATTTGGTTCGAGTCAATTTAGATTGGTTTCAATTCAAATCAACCTTTAGATTTTTAGGTCAAACGTTGTTTCTCTTTGTCGTCATTACTTCTGATGCTGCTCTTTATTACTTACAATTCAAGAATTTTTATGAATATATATTGTCACGTCCTAAATTCAAAGATAGAAGTTTTAGTTTTAATCAATCTAATAAATAAATCTTTAAAATAAAAATTTTTATGTGAATATATATTGTCACGATCCAAATGTAGAGCTAGAAGTTAATTCATCATATATAAAGATAGTCTTTTTAATTGAGGAAATGTTATAGGGATCATTAAACTATTACTAGAAGTGATGATTAACTAGTAGTATAATATAAAATGAGAATAAAACATTCATCCGTTTAATATTTATTAATGCTAAAAATAGATAATAATAAATAAATTATTCATTCACTTAGACTCAATTATCGGTTAAAATCAAGTCGAAATTCGGTTCAGATCATATATGGGTAAACTAAATTCGGATTGCTTTTGGTTCAAGTTGCTTTCAGTCAAATTAAAATTCAGGTCAGTTTCAATTTGATTCGGATTATTTCAGGTTTCGGATTAATTTTGAGTCATCCTGTTCGGATCTATATCAGATCACATATTAGATAAATCGGTTCGAATAATCGGATACAGATAAAATTTGCCAGGTATAGCCGAGTGAGAAGACATTTAAATTCCATGCAGTTTAATCAAAAGAACACGTCTCCATGTTGGAGGAAAGAGAAATTATTCAACCCAAATCACTTCTTTAGATAACGGCATTGCCTTTTATGAAAATACAACTTTTAACTTAGTAAACTTTATCAGTGTATGTACATAGGCATCTTCAAGTTCAACGCTGACATATCTTTAATTAGAGTACCTAACCACATATTTTAATAACAGCTGCAATGGAGAACTTTTTTCTCCCTGAAAAAGAGATTCTTTGAACTGGCAACACTGTTGGAATAATCTAAAATACAACCTCTTAATATAAGATTAAAAAACGATGGAATTCAATTGCAACCAAAAATCTTATTAAAACATAACTTTTTAAGTAGAACAGAATAATATTTTAGGTTGAAACTAAAAATATTATATTTTTTATAATAAATCTTGTAAATTACATAAAGTTACTGTAAAGACATTTTAGGTTGTAATCGAAATTATTATTAATTATATAACTTTTTAGTTTTAACATGTTACATTTTAGGTTAAATTCCGCGCAATGAACATTTTCGTTACAACCGAAATTATTACAAATTATATAATTTTTTAGATTTGATAAATAACATTAAAAATGGTCACAAATTAACCTTAAATTAATCTTTCGCACAGCATAACTACCCAACACTTTAAGCCTATCTTGTTGGAAGTTTCATGGAGTTACCTAATGTAGGGGAAGCGGATTATCTAGACCCAAAAGCTGTACTTGAAGAAAAGTAAATCCTCATATTATCATACAGAACATAATAAACGCATGTTTCTGGGGATTTATAGATAACGGTCAAGGTATTTATACAGGTAAAGTTGGTGAAGCAAGAAAGATATGAATAACCCCAGCTCTTAACATCCCACAATGATGAACTACTTATCGAACTGGAACTCGGTGTCAATTCCAGCTTGTTGCCACCACGAAGTGCAACCGAATCGATGGCTTGAATTTGCTTCCACGGAGAGATCAGGCAGGTCAACCCACATACTGTGATCACTATCCACTGATTCAGAAAACGGGGAGCCTTGAGTTTCCGATGACATTGAGGTGGAGCTTGGGGACTGAGTCACGTCTTGACTCGGTTCCTCCGTCTTCACTTGGAAGCTTTCTGCTTCATCTATCATGCCGTAGGCTGCTTTATTAGCAGCTTCTTGAATGTCTCTACGGGAAGAAGTAGCAGGCCTAGGAAGCTCATGAGCTGAGTCGGGGAAATTCAGGTAAGCCGATGGACCTTTAATGGCTAAGGAGGCAACATCGTGGGCTCGTGCTGCCATTTCTGCTGTAGGGAAAGTTCCAAGCCAAATCCTCGATGTCTTCCTCGGCTCACGTATTTCAGATACCCATTTCCCCCAGCTTCGCATCCTCACTCCACGATAAGTTGGATGCTTATAAGCTTTACCCTTCTTCAAGCTTTTCTTATCATCATTCGCCATGCTTTCAATGAATGTCCACGTCCCTTTTCCACGGTTTGATCTCTTCTTCCTCAACGATTGCTTTATGTACTTCAAATCCATAAATGCCCTTAAGTGATGGGTCAAGAATCGACGGGTTGGTTCAAGTAATAAGCAACTTAATATCGCTTAAACAGATCTGAGTTCGAGTTCTTGTGTATGCAGAAAATTTCTGATAGGATACTCAACTACTAAAACAAAGTGTGCGATTTGGATCAGTCCAAATTAACCAACACTAAACCTTGAGAACTGAGGGAAAAAATTTGGTGAAGAAACTACGACTAAACTAAAACAACGTAATGACTGTATCTTCTATGACAGAGAGCTACTGAGTTTTTGTAGTAGTTGGAAGTAAGGCAATGAATAAATAGACATCTGCCTGCCTTTCCTTACTCTTGAATGGGTGGCCTTGAACGTTCAATTATTTAAGAGTTGATTGCATACGTGCTCAAATTATGAATCTTATTTTAAATTAGTCTTTAAATTTTTAAATGTTTCAATTTTATCCATAGCTATGATTATCATTCTAAATTAGTCCTCATACATTTGAACATTTCATTTTCATCCTCAAACCACGACCTTCATTTTAAATTGCTTTCCTGAATTGAAAAAATATGAAATTAAAAATTAAAATTAAAATATAATAAATAACATAAAAGGATCAAACCAAAAAAAATTGTAAAATGTGAGGAATAATTGTAAATTTGACTGAATTGCATTAATTTCAAAAGTTGGGAAAAATTAAAACAATATATATATATATATAATATGAATAATGAATAATGAATGTTATTATAATATGATGCATGTATATATAATGTACACTATACTTTATATATATATATATATATATATATATATATATATATATATATATATATATATATATATATATATATATATATATATATATATATATATATATATATATATATATACCTATGCTTATAATTTATATATGTATCTAAAGTAGCAAATTAAACAAACATGAATTTGGAAATAAAAAATTGAATAAATTAAGCAACACGCATGATGAGGGATGAAATTGAATTAATTATAAAATGTGAAGTTGATATTAATATAAAAATGGAAAAAATTGCATACTTTTCAAAAGTTGGTGAACATAATTTGAAAAGAAATTTATTATGTGATTTACATTTTATAGGGTTCATTTTAAGTAAATTAAAAAATATAAATAAGTATGGGTCAATTTCATATACGAATATAATTTGAAGGACTAAATTGAATAAATATGAAATTTCAAATTAAAATTTAAATAAAATGATTAAATCAAAAAATTGTAAAATGTGAGGAAAAATTGTAAAATGAACTGAATTGCATTAATTTCAAAAGTTGGGAAAAAATTAAAACAACATATATAAATATATGTGTGTGTATAATGAATGTTATGATAATATGATGCATGTATATATATTATATAATGAACATTATATTTATGCATAAATTAATACATTATAAGTATATAGTTATATATATATATACACTTATTTAAATATACATATATAAAAAAAGTATATATATAAGTATATATATAAAGTGTAAACTATATAGTATATATAATATATATTTAAACTATAAGGTATATATAATTTAAAGTATAAAGTGTATATATATATTAAAACTTTATATATTATATATTTATATATATATATATATATATATATATATAAAGTATAACTATAAAGACTAAAGTACATAAGTATATAAGTGTATATATATATATATATATATATAAAGTTTTAGTCTAAAGTGTATATAGGTATATAATAACATAAAGTTTATAAGTATATAATATAAAATATATAAGTATTAAGTATAAGTATATAAGTATTAAATATAAGTATATAGTATATGAGTATATATATAACTATAAAGTATATATATATATATATATATATATATATATATATATATATATATATATATATATATATATATATATATATATATAGAGAGAGAGAGAGAGAGAGAGAGAGAGAGAGAGAGAGGGAGAGAGAGTTAGTTTAGTATAAAGTATATATATATATAATTAATATAAAGTATAAGTATAAGTATATATATATATAAAGTATAATTATAAAGATTAAAGTATATAAGTGTATAATATAAAGTATATAAGTATATAATATAAAGTATATATATATATATATATATATATATATGGATATATAAAGTTTAGTATAAAGTATATATACATATAATAATATAAACTATAAGTATAAGTATAAGTGTCTTATATATAAAAAAGTATAATTATAAAGACTAAAGTATATAACTATATAAATATAAGTATATAAATATATATAAACTATAAAGTATATATATATATAGTATATATATTTATATATATATAGAGTATAGTTATAAAGATAAAGTATATAAGTATATAATATAAAGTATATATATATATATATATATATACTATATTATATACTTATATACTTTATTCTTTATAACTATACTCTATATATATATATATATATATATACTTATATATTTATATTTAATACTTATATACTTGTATTTAATACTTATAATTTATATTATTATATACATATATATAATTATATACATATATATACTTTATATTTAATACTTATATATTTTATATTATATATTTATATACTTTATATTATCTAGTCTTATAATACTTTATATATATTATATACTTATACTTTATATTATATATGTATATGTACTTTATACTAAAACTTTATATAGATAGATACTTTATATTTTATACTAATATACTTTATTATTTATAATTATATTTACATATATAATATATATATATTTATACTTTATATAATTATATATGTACTTTATACTAAAACTTATATATATATATATATATATATATATATATATATATATATATATATATATATATATATATATATATTATATATATATATTATATATTATATTATATACTTATATACTTTATTATTTATAATTATATTTACATATATATAATTATACTTTATATTATTATATGTATATATATATATATATATATATATATTTATTTTATAGTTTATATATAGTATATATATATTTAAATATAATAGTATAAAATATAAGTATAAAAGTATATAAAGTTTATATATATATATATATACTTATATATTTTAGTCTTTATAATTATACTTTATATACATATAATATACTTATATATATATAGATATATAGATATACACACACTTTATAGTTTATATATAGTTTATATTAATAAACTATATAATTTATACATATTATATATAATTTATAATTATACATAATATATAAATATAATTTGTATATATTTAAATATAATTCATATATAATTCATATATAAACTATGTAATTTATATTAATAAACTATATAGTTTATATATATTTCAATAGCTCATATATAAAATCTATAGTTTATACATGGTATATATAGTTTATGCATAATATATGTAGTTTATATATAGTATATAATAATAAAAATATAAACTATATAGTTTATATATATAGTTTATATATATGATATATATACTATATATATACACTATATAGTTTATATATAATTTATATTAATAACTATATAGTTTATACATAATATATATATAGTTTATATATAGTATATAATAATATAAATATAAACTACATAGTTTATATGCATAGTTTATATATATAATATATATAGTTTATATATATATTATAATTATTTCAAAATTTTCCTCAACTTTTGAAATGAATGCAATTTAGTCCATTTTACATATTTTCTTCACAGATTATAATTATTTTGATTTGATCCCTTTGTGTTGTTTAATTTATTTAAATTTTTATTTGTAATTTCATATTTTTTCAATTTGCTCATTAAAATTATATTTGCATCTGAAATTGACCCATACTTATTACTTATTTATTTTTTTAATTGGCCCGTAACTTTTTAAATGAATATAATTTAGTACTTTTTATATTAATCTCAACCTCACATTTTAAAATTATTTCGATTTGGTCCTCATCAATGTTTGTTGTTTAATTTATTTAAATTTTTACTTGTATTTCATATTTGTTCAATTTATTCCTTAATTTTATATTTTTTCATAAAATTGATCCATGATTATTTATATTCTTAGTAATTTACTCTAAATCATATACAATTACAAATTACAAATCAACGTTCGCGAAAGAAAAAATAACTAATCCAAAAATAAAAATTGACCCGATTTGAACTTAGTCCGTATCTGATAAAGATCTGACCTGAATTTTATCTGCCAATGATGTCACCCGATCTGAACGAGATTCGCTTGAAGCCCATCTGAACCTGAATTAACCTGGTCTTTATCTACTCCAGACCTGAAGTATTTTAACCTGAACTGACATCGATCCAAACTGAAAATTAACCTGAATTAACCCGACCTGAACCCGAACTGTACCTGGTGTCAACTCAACCTGAAAATGACCCGACCTAATTTGAGCTGGACTCGACCTAATTTCAGTTGAAGCATAAAATTTACCTGACTTGGCTTATACCCGATTTTACCCTACCTAACAGGATCTGACTGAAACCTAAACGATTACCCGATTTTATATCCCTAATTGAGAGTTATCTTCGAACATATTCTATCTTGTACTTACCTATTTTAATAAAAAAAATACTTATGAATTCTTCATTATACCAAATAATAAATTTAATTTTTGTTAAATGTGTTAATTGTTCGAACCATTGTTTTTTAGAAGCCAAAATTGTAATACCCCAAATATTGAATTAGGGACTTTATTAAAATGATTTAAAATAGGAGGATTTATTAGATTAAATGATAAAAGATGAGAATGATTGGGATTAGTGGTTTAGACTAAATTGTAACAATTGATGATTTGGAGGGCATTTTGGTCCTTTAAAATGAATTTAAAAATTATTATTAGAAGGTATTAAAGAAAAGGGAAAAGGGAAAGTAGATACCAAAGAGCCATTTTCATTTTCTTCTTCTTTCACGTGGATAAAGCCTCCTCCAAAGCTTCAAAGGTAAGCTTCAATTAATCAGTTTTTTTTCTTTTGATTATGGGTT